GTAATGTAGGATCTAAGATGTAATGATGGGACTGACTCAGCAGGGTCTGTGTCTCTTTAAGAGCAAGCAGGGTCTGTGTCTCTTTAAGAGCTTTGTATAAAAGGGATGGCTCCGCAGATGTGTGCTCTCTCTTCCCTTTTCCTCCTGTAACTGCTGTGTGTTGGATTCTGCTGTGTTAGAACGTGTATGTATATTGTTCTGGTGTATGATATTGTAGATAGTGTAAGATAAACCACCATTTAATATAGACCACTGTTAACTGTGTTTACTCCTGGGTTATCTCAGCGCAATAAGACTGTGCATGCTCTGACAAGTCATATCAACAGTTTGTATTTTCAATTTAATGTGAACCATACTTAAATGTAAAAATAAATCATTTTTTTCTGGGGCCTTTCAGCCGTTGCTCTGTTCCTTTCAGCTATAGTCTCCTTCCCCCACTTCCCCCACTGTGTTCCTTGGCTTAAAGATAGCTGCTCAACTTCTCCAATAAAGGATCATAGTTTTTGTGATCTAGCTTAACTTCCATATTCCATATTTATGGCGCTGGAATTTTTCAGAGGCTGAACAGCCATCTGATGGAAGGGTGGAATTCAGAGTTTGGGTTCCACAGAAAGAGACCAATGCAACCCCCCAACTCTGACCCCAGTTCATCTGAATGCAGTCAGGAGCATCTGCAGCAATTTTGCTAAGTTGCAGTGGAAAATTGCGGACAGGGGGAACAATCTCCCCTGAAAGAGAACACCATGACTGATGTTTTGATGACCATTGGTTCTGGAAAAGCTTTTAACTAACAACTTCATGGCATGAAAAAGTTTGAAGACCCCTGGGGTTGTGAATTCCTGCACTGAACCAGGGGTTGGACTAGATGACCTTGTGGACCCCCCTCCACTCACACCTATGAACAAGTCCCTGAGCGGAATCTCTCTCTTAATTCTATTCCCAGTTAGCTGTAGTGGCGGGGAGGGTGGCAAAGGGGGGGGGGAGAGGAAAGAAAAGCATTTCTAAAATTATGTAAAAGAGGCTCTTTAATGGGAACTATTAGGTTTGCCTTTCCTATGTCAGTCACCGAGTTTGTGGTTCAGTCCTCTTACCTCCTTGTCCTCATACGACATGTCAAGCGGAGGCTTCAACACCTTGGACTGGATTTTGCCTTTTTTGGCTTTCCACGGCCTCTCTGAGGTTCTGGATGTGACTCTCACAGTAAGTTTGCTGGCATCCAACTTGTTTTTAGCTTCCTCGATCACTTTAAACAGAGGTGGGGGAGGCTGAAAAAGCCAAGATTTTGGGTATCTGTTAAAAATCCTCCCTTGTTGGGACTAAACGATTCACAGGAGGCTCTGGGGATGGGAAAGCCCATCCTTAACCACCAAAACATTCTATCTAAATATGAAGCAAACTTCCTATGTTGCAGAAGCAGAACATAAACCTCACTTCATTCTAGGAGTCAGTTATTCCATCTAATTTCTGCCCCATTAAGAAAACTAAAAAAAAAAAAATGAGCAGAAAAGATAATTTGTGAAAGCAGAGCTGGGAAACTGAGTATCTTCTATGTGTAAATTGTAGCTGTCTTGGCACATGCAACTATAGCAGGGGTCTCCAAACTTGGCAATTTTAAGACTTGTGGGCTTCATCTCCTAGAATTTCTCAGCTAGCCATGCTGACTAGGGAATTCTGGGGGTTGAAGTCCACATGTCTTAAAGTTGCCAAGATTGGAGACCCCCCTGAACTACAGGTAATCCTCGACTTATAGCCATTCGCTTAGCAACCGTTTGAAGTTACAAAGAGCACTGGAAAATCTCCTGACGCTTAACGACCATCGAAGCTTTCCCAATCGTAGGATCAAAATTTGGCCATTGGCAACTGGCCTGTATTTGTGAAGGTTGCAGTGTCCCAGGGCCATGGGACAGCAGTCAATGGGGAAAATCAGATTCACCTAACAACTGCGTGATTCACTTAACAACTATAGTGATTTGTTTAATAACCATGGCAAAAAAAAGCTCATAAAAATGGATACAACTCATTTAACAAGTGCCTTGCTTAGCAACAGAAATTCTGGTCCCTACTATGATTCATATTGAGGACTATCTGTATAGACCAGTGTTTGACAATTGTGACAATTTTCAGCTCTGTGGATTTCAACTCCCAGCAAGGCTAGCTGGGAAATTCTGGGAATTAGGTCCACGCACCTGAAAGTTGTCAAGGTTGAGAAACACTGAACTAGACTAAAATGAAGTTTGGCTGTTTGTGGTTAACCAAATAGTGGGAGCCCAGATGCAGGAGGAGGAGGTGTGGCAGAACTTGGGGGCAGAGTTAAAAAAGGGATCAGCCTAGAATCCCTACATAGCCACAAGCAAATTAAATCCAACCCCTCTGGAATGTGGTTGATTCTTATCTAACTCCAAGCAGTTGCTAACCATTAATTGAGAAGATTACTGTCCATAGGATGTTTTTTTTTTAAAGTAATAAATTGGTTTAATTGGACCTTCAGGTATGGATCTGGTCTTTCAAGCCTGACACCAGCCATTTTATTAGCAGGCAGCACTGAAGAGGCATTCACATTCAGTTATGGTATAATTCATATATTCAGACATACAGTAGTGTATAAATATAGGATGTGTATTTTTTTAGTCTGGGTTTAAAGGTGCATGCATTGGGGTACATTCCTCCTTATTACGCCATACTGAGGGCCATGACTATTGGATGGAAAAGCACCTTTTGCTGTCGGTTTCCTTTCTGTTATTCCAAAACACGCGTGGGAAACGAGGAATAACAGGCAGATAGTTTTCACCGGAATGTCGTCCCTGAGCAGCCTCTCTGCATGTGCCTAGACCAGGGGT